TCGCGTCGTCGTCATAAAAGCAACTAATAAAAGATGAAACGTGGTTACGTCGTGGTTAAAGAATAGCAAACGAGGATCTTTAGGAATTTCTTGTAAAACCCATAAAAAGAAACGACTCAGTTGGGTACAAACTACGGAAGTCGCGCATAAGCGCGTTTTTAGGATGGCTTTCGTGTGAGGTGACTTTTTAATGTTATGAGTTGAGAAATAAACGAGTTGAATGTTATTATACTTTATCAAAATCATGCATTGAATGATTTATTTAGTTGCGAAATCTATATATCTGATAATTTCAGGGACGTGATTTACGATTATTTTTCCGTTATGTGATATAACGGAAAGATGATTTATGTATATACTATACTACATGTTATAGAGAAAAATTATGAAAAAAATTCAAAGAAGCGACTTGTTTTGACAACATCACTCAAGCTCAAAAAGAAAGGAAATTCAGCGTACAAAAGCCGCATGCACGAGTCAGCCATACATGACAAAAGACACGTTCCATCATATCTGTAAAACATCTAAATTCGCTAGAAACTTTTCGAATGAAGATCGATCCTCCGGAGTGGCACGTGCAAAGGAGAGAGCACGAAATAAAGAAGTGACACAAAGGATGTGGAGGGGAACGCGCGAAAATGGTTACCTGCAGCTGATTTGCATCTCGCGCCTCTAACTCACTCCTCAGCATCCCCACCACCATCGCCACCCCCTGAGGTTATTTGTTGCGACCACAGAAGAATGTCAAGATCCACGAGATAGAACCAGGAGGGCGCGAGTTTTCTCGAAAAAGAAGTCATAAATATCTTTTTTTTTGCTTTTGTGAACCTGCTGTCCCGATTTTTTGCGCCCTGGCGCTTCTACTACTGCTGATGTTGTGTTATTTTTTTTAGCTGGCGCGATGAGCTGGTTTGCTCGAGTTTTCACGCTAATTATCACTGTTGAATAGTCGCCATTTCTTTTTCAGTTTCTTTTATGTTCGCCGAACGACCCTTTGTTCGACCCTTCACTGATTTTTTCTTCGAGATAACACGCGGGATTTGAGTTATAGTATCTTCAATCGCGAGTAGAGCTATTTTAATAGTCATAGTTACAATCTTTTACGTATCAAATATTTTTTCACAATGGATCCTTCTTTTTCCACGTTTTTTTTTCTTCGCCTTCTGGGAAAATATTATTGTGAACCTTAAGCACTTCGTCAAGATACATAGTCGAAAAAAATATTAATACTTTTTATAATCAACGTTTATAAGGTTTTGGAAACGAGTTTTTCTACTTAGCATCATAAATAGACGAACAATGAAAAACTAAAATATATTTACTATGTAGCATTCGCTTATTATTTAAAAGATTGATTAATTTTTGTGTAAAATAAACTTTTACATAGCGAAATTTTACAAATTTGAAAAATGTTTATTCGTTTTCAGCGTATGAAGTACAATTTTAGGTATTAATAAATATTGCCAATATTTATGTTTGATGTTTTTCCCTAAACAATTAATACAAATTAACAAATTTTTATTATAATTCAATATACAATTTTCTTCAAACAAATCGATCAAGAGCAAAACTCTAGGATAAAAATCGGTAATGAACGAAATTATCTTGATCCTGCGAATTGCAAGTATGGGGGTAATATTTATCGCTGAACCACTTTCCTCTTTCAGACAGTAACTAAGCGGCTTATTAGCGCCACAATAGGCATAACTAAAGGGTCGCGGTGACGACGGGAGGCATTTACGGGGGCGGACATCTTTTTCTCACGCAAATGATTTACAACGTCGGACGCACATGCTTGGCAGATTCTCCTCGCGTGAGCTTTTTCACCACAGACAGACAAACCAATTGGACAAACAGCACAACAACGCAGGCGGAGACTGCGCGATGATCGATGCTGACTTGTCGTTTTCCATTCATTTTCAAAAATTTTCCTAGACGAGCTCGCGCCTGTTCGCCTTTTCTTGACTGCTTCCACAAAAAAGAATGAGAAAAGACCTTTCTGTTTTGCTATAGTGATTACAATAACGGTGTCTCGAGCAATCAATTTTCTCCGACGAAGGAATGAATGGAGAATCAGGGGTGGGGCTAACGTGATATTGCTCTATCGCTGATGGTAATCCGAAAGCGATGTGTACATGTGTGTGTTGTCGAGATAATGGAGAGTAGCAAGCCACTTCCGGCGGCGCTATCCAACTGCGGGCTTATCGCTTGATGGCTTACGCGCCGCCCCCTCGGATATATCGGACTTCACGTGAGGATCAATGATAGCTGTATGATAAAGAAAACATGTTGAAAACCATAGAAGATGTAGGCTTCGACTCTAACTTGATTGATATTCTTTAGTGCTTGTTCAAATAAAAATGTTTCATTTCAAGAGACATCTTTATTTTAATGATTTTAGGAAACAATAATAGCTATTTCTATATTAAAATTTTAAAAAATTCAAAAAATCAAGTTAATTTATTCAAATGTAATAATCGTTCAAGTCGAAAGCAGTTGAGTCTGTCGAATGAACAAATAAATGCCACTTAAAATGTTATAATAATTTTCGTCAAATTAACAAGGCGAAACTGATACATGAAGAGTTTCAAGATTCCATCCTTACTTCCAACTAACAATTAATATATTCAGTAAAAAAGCAAAATAACTATCTTCCGGAAAATCAATGCGCACTGTAAAACATCGCATCTTCGCGTGTCAAATGCGAGTCTCGGAAAAGTCGGACAAGTCAAAAGCCTCGATGAAAGAAAAAGTCGATAGCCAGTGGATACCTTTTTTCCCATGGCCTCTCTCTCTCTCTCTCTCTCGCGAAATAACGCTCCATAAATCTCCCTTGTCGATCTCGTGAGCGCTATACCTACATGCCGCACACAAAAAGCGAGACAAGTCCCTTGCATATCTACAGCCTACAAAGCGTTTCCCGTCGCGCGGCAACACAATGCGATCATTGACGCGCGCCTCTCATACAGGTGACGACGTTTTTCGCGCGAGCCGATCATACGAAAGGACCTGCTGAGCTTTATAGAAAGCAAATCCATGAAGATACGCGTCATTACGTCTGGAAATTGGACCTCCCGACGGGCAGCATCGACAGGTTCATCCAGAAAAAAACAGCCCGTGGTTTTTTCCCTCTCGCTTTTGCAGGCAAGAGTTGGAGAAGGGAAATTCGCCATTGTGACCAGTAGCGAAAGAAAGTCAATGAGTGACCTTGCGTACCCATAGACATGCACAGAGGCCGGAAGTTTCCTTTCACTCTGATTCCGCTTTGCACCCTGCATCGCTAACTTTTTTGTCTTCCTAAAAAAGACGGCTAATTTGTGGGCTCTTCCTCTATCGCTCGGGGGATGGGCTCCTTGTCTTGTACTTCCGAAGAAATGCTGTCGCGCGCTTGCAATAGCCGAGTACTGCCGAAGGATCGCAGGTATACATTTTTTTTCTCTAACGACGATTAATTTTCAAATAGTTGCATCTCTGTTGGAAGCATTCGCACCATCAACGCAAATGACTTACCTAAATTGGAGTTAATTTAAATTTCTAGGACGCCGCTATTCGGGAATAGTAAAGCGCTTCAATGGGCTAAGCAACTTAGTACACACTATCTCCGAGTTGATCTTAAGTATAGTTAAATTCGTCTGTCAGAAAGATCAAATTAATGTGCACAAATTTAAATTACTCGTCCGCTTCTCCAATTGTCTCTCCGCTCAAATTTGTTGTTTGCAATTTATTTAATGACTCATTATATCCTAAATTATGTCAAACAAAAGAAAAGCTGATTCTTCGTTGGTTTGCATCTGTGTATAGTCGGCGCTTCCGTGAAGGGTATGTATGGAAATCTAAAGCAGGTAATTTTAACATTAAGTCAAAAGTACCTATTATAAGCTCTAGTCACGTAGTGCCAAGTTGCGGTAGTGCTGTATCTGTTCGTATACGTATTTTAGCCTTGTGCAAAAATGACTGAAAACGTACACGATATAGTTTATTGAAATCGCAACAAAACTCTCTACACGCTCAAAGTCGTATACACCACAATGTACCGGTAGTGTTATGCTAATTTTTTGGTCTTATTACACGTGCCCTTATTTTGCTTGGTTCATCAATGAGACAATTTTAAACATTGCAAGTTCTCTCCTTAGCAATTTTGGGATTACTATCGTTGCAGATTCGAGTTCGACGGAAAGAATAGCTACGCTGAAAATGGTTGATCGATAGTTTGACCATCCTAAAGCTCCTCGGCATGCAGACCATTGAAATGTCGATGCTCGCAAGAAAAAGCAAATGCAGCAAATGCACGACAAATTTATAGTTTTGCCACACGGGATCCTCCTACGGAATTTGCGCACCCAATAATAACAAACGACTGAAAGCGCGTTAGCGTGAAAAATGGTGAAAGAAGAAGCATCGCTACACAAAACGTCTCGGCGCATCATCCCGTCGCATGCCGGTAAAACTTCCCATAATCGCATTGGTTGACAAAAAGCCGAGTGTCGTCAAGCGGTCTGCTTCGCCTTTCCAACGGAGAGGGGGACATTTTTCAAGAAACAAATTCTACGGATGCTACTGAGTGTTATAGCGGGGGGGGGGGGGCCGAGGGACGCGCGCGCCAGAAGGAGCGGTTCCTTCAAAAGTTTTTCAGTGATTTATGCATCTGCGCATGCTCCATGCATTTCAGTTTGGGGGCCCGGCCCGCTCGTCCCGTGTGCGACGGGTCCAGTGCGGTGTAGCGCTGCCTTATCCCCACCTTCGTTTTTCACACTGTAACGAATGCCTATACTATGCGTCCCCACTTCCACTTCTCATCCTCCTACTCTCTCACGTTGGAGCCGCAGCCCTCTCCACACTGCATATCTACTCGGTTATTAGAGCTGAGAGGACACGCGGCAAACCAGTAATTATTCGGTGGTCGCCCGAGGTTACACAGCCAAGAGGAAGCAACCCAAACGCTCTCCTTGTGTTTTACGTTCCAACATTCGCTTGTGTGCCAGTGTTTCTTGTGTGTACTCAGTGCTTTCAGTGTCATCAAACGTACTACTATATAGACTATTTTCTCGCAAAAAAGAGCTCAGGGCGTCCTGTAGCTTTTCTATTCAGACTAGATTCGCCGGGCGGAATATTTCGCTTCAACATGCAGACATATCAGGTATGCGCATCATCCCGAGTATTACTTAGCCTTAGAACTTTCTTTCGTTTCTTATTGATTAGTTTGATCAACTTTTACGAAAATATCACTTTAGACTTGACATTTTGACTAATGACATCCCTAATAATCAATCGAATTGCATAAATTATTGGAATCGTGTATCGCAATAGACCAGACAATTTTTAGTAACCTTTGTGCCGAGCTTTTCAGTAAAACATTAGTATGAGCATTCTTCTTTTTGCGTCTTGTTTGAATCCTATAAAAATTGTCTAAATTTGTTGTAGTTTTTATAATTGTTTTTCATACGCTAACTACCGGCAATGTTTTTACTTGCTTTGTGTCCTAGACTTCGAAAGGAATAATTAGCTCTCTTGATACTCAAATTATAGCGAATTAGTAAAATAACAATTGTTCTATTATCTAATTGCAGATTGGTCCAGCATCGGGCTCTGCGTTTTCATTCAATGAGTACAGCTCAGTAGCCCCAACATCGAGCCAGCAACAATTCACGCCGGTAGTACAGGCAGAGTGCAAGTACGATTCAGGCAGTGCCGGCACAGCGAGCATACACTATCCAACGTATACCAGCCAACTTCAGTTATCTGGGCAGCAAGCCCCAGCCGTCCAGCCAAGTCACTCCTCTTACTGCTGGTGTTCGTCAACCAATGCATGTAGCAATAGTTGCGCTTACCTCCAGTGTGCCTACGAAGCCAGCGTCGCTCCACTCACCGGTTCCAGTAATAGCTGTTACAATAGGCCAATAAAATCGTCCATGCTGTCCTCGCAATCGCCAAGCTGCTGTAGCGTGGATAGCCAAATGTCGTCGCAAAGCTATTCTCAACCGCCGACTCCACCTGAGGGCAATATACAGCAAACTCCAATTTACACACAGACTGCATACGATGGTCTGACGTACAGGTCAAATACCAAAGCTTCTTGGCAGACCCACCCGAGCGTACGCTACCAGCTTCCACCTACACCTCCGGACTACTCACCAACATACCCATCCTGGTCATCGAACATGATCATCCTCGATGTGGACAAATCAGGAAACCGGAAATGCTCGCGTTGCCAGTGTCCCAATTGCCTTCTCGATGGCGGTAACAACAGCCTTGGACCCGACGGAAAACGACAGCATCTCTGTCACATTCCCGGATGCGGCAAAATCTACGGCAAAACGTCGCACCTGAAGGCACACCTGAGGTGGCACAGCGGCGACAGACCGTATCTTTGCAGCTGGATGTACTGCGGCAAGAAGTTCACGCGTAGTGACGAGCTGCAGAGGCACATGAGGACTCATACCGGTGAGAAGAGGTTCGTCTGTCCGCACTGCGAGAAGAGATTCATGCGCAGTGATCATCTCACCAAACACGTCAGAACTCATGAGAACCCTAAAAGGAAAGGAATAAAGAGAGTACAGGAGTAATTATTTCTTTTGCCACGTGTAATGTACAGACTATTTTTATATACCTCAATGACGCGGACTGATTAGTTCAATAGTAACGTATAGTGTTGTGTATATATTTTTATATAAATTTAGGTGTATTATCATGTAAATAATTATATTTTAATGTTAAAAGCCAAATGCGAAAATACTCCGAATACATATTTGTAAATAGTGACAATATAGAATAACTCGAATTTCGATCGACTTTTCCGACATGATATATTCAATTATTTATTGTTAATGCAAATAAACATCATCTGAAGTTACTTATAAACTAATTTTCTCACTCATTAATTTTTATTGTGTAACGTCACTAATTATTCGACAACCTTTATCGCTTTAAACTAGTTTAATATGCGTTTTGCTTGGCGTTCAAGTTTGTAGAAAAGATGATGTGCAAATATCTGATGGAATTTCAAAAAATAAAATATTAATGAATCGAAACAAGTATAATAATTTAACAACACCAAATGATAAATTTCGTTTGTTTTGGGTATAAATATTAATGAGTATTACTTTTATAATGTTGCTTTTGCTTCCTTGAAGAGATCTTGAAACAATGATTTAGCAAAATTTGTCTATTTTTATGGTAGTTTTTTAATATTTTATATTAAGCGCCATTTTTTTATTTTATATTATGTTTGATATTTTATTTGATTCCACGTGGAAAAAAAAAGTTTGGTACTTTATTTGGGACTTTATAGAAAAATTATTTTGTTCAATTTTACATGGTTTTACAAAAATATGTCAAATTCGTAACAAATTTTATAAAATTTTATGCGATTTTATAAAATTAAATGTAATTGTAAGATTTTGTAAAATTAATTAAGAGATTTTATTGATTAAAGAAACTTCTGGTGAAATATAGCAGATATATATTAAAAATAATTTTTCCACTAAATGTAGTGTACCGCGATATGTATCAAATAAAAAAAATAGCGCTTAATACAAAATATCAAATAAAAAAATAGCGCTTATTTAATTATTGAGCTAGTTTAGCTTTTTATATACAAGATTATGCGACACATTTTAAGACTGACAAAGTAACTGAAATTTTAATAGACTAAAACTAGTGAATAACCCCTCGTATATATCATATGACGTTATATAACGTCATTCCAACAAAGACAGGAGTACAAAATCTTAGTTGCAATGATAAAAATTTGCAAGAGGAATAATAGACCGGCGTATAGTAAACATTGTGCTACGTTGCGCTCATTGTCAATGTAGGGCGGAGTAGAGGATGTAAGTATCAAGTAACAGGAAGACGTAAAATGCTACGTACGACAAGGGGATGATGCCTTATTATGTCAAATTTCACGGTGTTCTATATAACTTTCATTTTCGTTAACAGTACTTTCTCTATATGACAAGTCTTTAAGAGAAGATTTCTGACAGATTGTTTCCCTCTGTGATTTCCGCAGGCTGCCTATTCGAGATTATACTTTTTCTACACATATATTATTCTATCGACCGTGCGTTCAAATTTGCAAATATTCTTGGATGTGGTTACTGCGCCGAGAAAGAATGGCAAGCCCCCCCCCCCCTAAAAACTCGCGAAGCGTTAAAAAAAATGATCACCGGGCCGCTGTCTCGTCGAGCGCACCACTGAAAAGCGCAACGTTTTGCCGTTCTCGGCACCGTTGAAGTTCACAGAAACGTACAACAGATGGCTGCAGCAGTGTCTTGCGCGCGACGGTAAGTGCGTTCATTACTCGGCTGCACAGGTATGTACGCATACACATGCAGACAACACCTCCTTCGATCGCGGCCAAGTCCCTCTCTCCTACGTACACAAGAGGGAAACGGCTATTAAGTGGGCGTGTCCGTGTATAGCAAGAGCGCGCCGCGGCGAAGATTCATGGCGCTGGGTGCCTTAAAAAACGAAAAAGTAGCAAATGCCGTCGAGGTCGGTGGGAGGTAGGTAGGTCGCTTCGCTGCGCGCGCGCGCGCTCTATCTCTCCTGAATCCTGAAAACGCCGGAGAGAGAGAGAGAGAGAGAGCGCAAAAAGGTAGGAGGAGGAGGTGGGAGGGGGGAGGTGGCGCCGCCGCTCTCGAAGCCGCCTCGTGTACTGCGCCCGATAGCACGTGCGTGTCAACTTTCTCTCTCTCGCTCGCGCGGCTTCTCTCATGCGCGCTATCTCAGTGCGCCGCCGCGATTCGCAGCACGCGGCCACCGTACCGCACAACACAACGGCGTACGTATAAGCCTTTCCTATCTCTCATGGCAAAAGTGTGTTGTGTGTGCATGTGCTTCGTTGTTGTGTTTTGACCGACGCGAGAGAAAGGGATTTTGTGTGACTATGAGGATTTTGCTGAGGTGAAAGACAGAGATTTGAATTCGGCTAGGAAGGGAGGGTACGGTTGGATCAAGAGAAAGGGAGAGACAGAGAAAGTGTATCACCCAGGCAACCTGGAGGCGGAGGTTGGCGGTGGGGGTCGCAGGGGTGTTAGCCCCACAGCACCCCTCAACTCTATTAACGTGAGTGTTTGCACTATTCTCACTGTGTGGCGTGCCATACGTTTGTATATCACCTATGTGATGTGTCTATGTGCAGCTTAAATGAATATCACTCTATGGTACTTTGAAAGTGCAGCACATTTCTATTGGGACCAATAGCTGGCGTGTATGCATTGCTATATGTGTTTAATGTGGCTTACTATTTGTCGTTTATTAATTAACAACTCGTAACTCTAAAATGGATAATATTACTAGAAAATAAATTATTGATTTTAAAGTATGTTTTTAGCAGATGCATTTGCTATTGCAATATTTAATTAAATGAAGGTTTGGTAAAGATTTTGCATGAATTTTGGTAGAGAAAGCTTGGAACGATTAATTTTCAATTGACATGCCGTTTTAACAGTCGCACCTTTTACAAGAACGAATTTTTACAGCATCCATGGGTTTGGTTAGGAACATAAATAACAAGTAAAACAAAAGGCAAAGCACGCACACATCCACTGTTCGAACTGAGATCGAAGCGCCAGTAGTCTACTTGAACTGCTTGAACCGGCACACGTATCAGGTTCTCTTGTTCGTCGCCTCTTGGCTCTGCCTCGGCGCTCCCTCGAAAAATGCGTTTAATAGCGCACGAGAGCGGCAGCGAAACGTGCTTTCGCATCCAAAAAGGGGAGTGAGGAGTGAACGAGCGAGGCGAGCGCGCGAGTGTTATGAAATCATTATTCCGAGCTCGCTGCTCTCGAGTATAAGCCGATCGCACGGGCCGCCCACCGTATACATCAACCAGAGCGCAATCGAACAGGTGCTCGCGTATATTTTTCTGCCGACAGAACGAGGAGGCGTTACTCTGGTTCCAGTGAAAAATGCAATTTTTTCGAGACAAAACGCGCCGGAATTGCCGCCGATCTTAATCCGCCTTAGCATTGTTCGAGGTGGCGCTTTTATTTTTTTCCGGCGAGGGCAACATTGTGCTCTTGGTTGAGCCCTCTTGAGCGCGCGCGCGCGCATTTCTGAGGACTTACATGACGCGTTAAAAAGCTCTTGTTAAAACACACCTGTGTTCTATCCATCATGCGAAATTATCGAAGAAAGTGCTACGAGCACAAGCGCAGAGTACTGCTTCTACCGCTTGGATAATGTTCATTACAAAACTCGACATATGACTGTCGTGCAAAGAAAAGCTTTTGAGAGACAAAAAACCTACTTGACACAAGTGCATCCCACCCACGGAATAACACTCGGCTGCCTCGGCGATCAACTGCTCGACATTTACGATTTTCCGAGAAGCTCGCTCTGTGCGTCAGTGCAGCATGCGGCACGCAGCGAAAGATCTTTCGTCGCGCATCCGGTGGAACACTTCTCGCTCTCTCCCGAAATCATTACGAATCTCGACGTCGCATCTGGCCGACAACGCGCACACGCGTGCCTATATTATTCTCGGTAATACTCCAATTTTCGCGGCTCTAGAAAGGAGGAGCCCGTGAAGAAAGCGAAGAAAAAAAAATGAAACACGTGCCGAAACTTCTCGTCGAGAGAGTGGTTGACACACCCCCGCGTTTCTCGCACTAAATCTAATTAATTTAACTATGCTTGGCGTCGTAGTGCCGCTCAGGTAGGAGGAGTGAGCGAGAGACTTTTTTAGCCCAGGTGCCTTCTTCTTTTTTCGGAGTTGCGTGTATTATATCGCCGTTGTTGTTTTGTGGCTTTATTAGCTTTCCCTTTGTTGGCAGCGCAGCGGCTTTTGTTGAGCCGCTCTCTCGTAAATATGTATTTTGATCAAACAGACGGTTTTACGGGCTCTGGCTCTTTTTTGTTGTGCTCTTTCTCGGCGCTTTCTCTCGTGATTAGTTTTTTGGTTACACGGTTTAATCTTGCTAACGCCAGCGTGGCCATTTGTTAGTGTGGCCAATTGGTAAATATATATCAACGCACAATAAGATTGATTTTTCACTTAACGGGATCGAATATAAAACATTTTGAAATTTAAAATGTTATAACGCTCAGTACGACGAGAATGATATTGTTAATTGATTAGTAATAGCAAGCTTCCATCAATCTTCCATCACCACACACTTTCAAAAATGTATCCGACAAGTGACTCGTCAAACATGACCTAATAAACGTCAACAAACTCTCTCTCTCTCTCTCTCTCTGTTTCTCTTCCCAAAATAAAAACTTCGTATCGAAGCTCAATGCTAAATAACTAGGTACCCTTGAAAGGCATATAATATGAATGAACTATTCATACGCGCGCCGGTTTTTATACATATACAGGTTCCTTAAATCAACTGATCATTCATGAAGAGAGGGGGAAGGGCAGCGGTGCGAGGAAATTGGATGGTATATACGAGGGCTGTTATCGAGTCGAACGTGCACCGTTTGACTTTCGTTTTGTTTTATTTTGTGAGTAAATCTCAAGGTGTGCGCGCTCTTTGCCGTCGGATAGCGGTATGATCGATAAACTCAACCGACACACGCTGAATGACATTTTTTATTCGCTCTATCGGAATTAGCA